CACCACCAAGTCATTGGTTCAGGTATGTTGATGACACCTGGGTTAAAATTAAATCTCAGGAAGTCCAACATTTTACTGACCACATCAACTCTGTGGATAAATACATCAAGTTCACACGAGAAGATGTAAAAAATGGCAAGTTGGCTTTCTTGGACTGTGAGGTCTCAGTCTCTGATAGAGGACATTTGCAAACCGAGGTGTACCGCAAACCCACCCACACAGACCAGTATTTGCAGTTTGACTCCCATCACCCTTTGGAGCACAAGTTAGGAGTCATCAGGACTCTGTATCACAGAGCAGACAGCATCCCCACTAACTCGGGAGCCAGGCAGAAGGAGAAATCCTACACAAAACAGGCTCTAGAGCAATGTGGATATCCTAACTGGGCCTTCCTAAAAGCAGAGAAGAAACCCAAACAGGACTCCAGTCAGCCATCAGGTGAAAAGGAGGAACCCAGACCCAGACCAGTGGTCATTCCATATGTTGAGGGAGCATCAGAGAAACTGAGACGTTTATTTTCTAAACATAACGTCCCAGTGGCTTTTAAACCCCAAAATACATTACGGCAAAGACTGGTTCATCCCAAAGATCCAGTCCTCCGGCACAAACAGAGTAATGTTGTGTATGCTGTTCAGTGTCAGGAGGGCTGTGATCAGTCTTACATCGGGCAAACTAAACAGCCACTGGCCAAAAGGATGGACCAGCACAGAAGATCAACATCATCAGGCCAGGACTCTGCGGTCTACACTCATCTCCAGGCCAGCGGTCACTCTTTCAGGGATGAAGATGTTCACACCCTGGATAGAGAGGAACGATGGTTTGAGAGAGGAGTAAAGGAGGCCATCTTTGTGAAAAGAAATCGTCCATCATTAAACAGGGGTGGAGGCCTCCGGGTTCAACTGTCCCCCTCTTACAATGCTGTGATTGCTAGTATCACTCAGCCCTCTGTGAATAGTAAACAGCCATCAGTGCTAATGATCCATTGTTAGGCTGATGGTCCTTCTTGAGCATGTGAGCAGCTGGTTTTGGTTGTCAGCAGCAAACTGGTTGATCCACTCTGAGAAGGTGCTATTTAAGAGACTGAGCTGAAAACAGCACCTCAGACTGAGGAAGTCTCTTGGATGAGAGACGAAACGTTTCTACATTTTTTTGCTTTGTGTTGTTTTTTGTTTTTTTTTGAATGTCCAGAGGACCAGATTGAACTTTTTTGGATTTTTCTACCTGGATTATTGAGCATGCATCAGGATATTACTGCGAGTAGCGTGCACGCACCTCACTCTCCACTCATCTTGTACCTTTTCGTGGCGGCCATCTTAATCCTGTGACGGTAGATGAGGTAATGGTTAGCGTGAAGGTTACTCCAACCTTCATATTTGATCATGCAAACACATTTTTCTAATTTAACTAATCTCTGTTTTAAAATATATGTTTTATCACCAGCATTGCTACAGCTAACTGCTGCTGCTTTAAGCACTATGTTGAAGAAAGTGACGTTTTAAAGGTCTATGAAATGGTGCTGCTTATAAGATTAAGTCTGTTGAAGGATCCGTTCAGAGGACCTGACTCCACTTGGTTAGATTCATCAGTGATTTCATGAAGCACTGGAAGGTTTTGGTGCTCTCACCTGGTTTAAGAGGGCAGTCGTCCACTTTAGTCCTGTGTATTCAGACTAGCCATTAACTTGTCGGTTAATTAAAGTGTGTTTCTTCAGACTGAGATGTTTCATTGTGAAAGATATGTACAAGTTTTACACAAAACTCCACTTCAGAATGGCGTTCCACTTTAATGCAATAAAGATGTTTAGTAATACTCCTTCATATCTTTCCTTTGTATCTGTGTGCAGAGGTGCTTCAAACTGCAGAAGACAAGAAAATATCCCAGGGTTTGTTACAATCCTACTCCATTGATTGCTCAGAAAATTAATCGGTTCAAATCAGAACTTTCTCTCTCTCTCTCTTTCTCTTTGTATATACACTGAAAAAAAAAAATATATATATATATATATATATATATTTGTTTGTTTGTTTGTTTAATTTAAGCTACACAGGTGTCGCCATTCATTGCAACTCTCTCAGGAAGTCCCACTTTTCTCCTGATCAGGATCTCAGGGAGGTGAGAATGAGCAGCAGGACAGCCCAGGGCCGCCTGCAGGTCCTGCAGATCTACCGCCTGCTGCAGCACGTCCTGCAGGGAGACCGGCAGCAGATTGAGGAGATGGTGAACCTCGGAGTGAAAGATCTCATTAACCTCACAGAGCCACGGGATGGCACCGGGGTGCTGCATGTGGCAGTTTCAGCCAATGATCTAGGTAAAAGGACTTTTTCTGCTTTTCTCAGAAAATATTCAGTGTGTGAACCAAAATGTTAGACGACTACAAGGATGGCAGTGTTTCAGGTTCAAGTCGCTCTGTTTTATCTGTCTTGTCAGACCTCGTCGACTTCCTTCTCTCTAAAGAAGCACAGCCTAACGTTCAGGACAGACAGGGTCGTACGCCCGCCATGTTAGCAGCTGAGCTGGGGAATGACGCCATGCTGTCTCTGCTAACCCACAAACAGGCTGACCTGACGCTCCGGGATGCCAAGGGACAAGGTGGGCAGCTGGAGGGATGACCCTGTCACATCGTGTCTAAAACTTGAAGATATTACACCTGAATAATTATAAAACAGATTACACAGTTCGTTGAACACTGACAGAGTGAAGAGCTTGATGCTCAGAGGCAACAACACTTTGTTTTCAGCAACTTAAGGATTTATCATCCATCTCTGCAAAATGTTCATTTAATTGCTCGTGTATGTTTGGTTTACTCTAGATGTTAACCCATTCAAGATGGCCACCACAACAAAGCGATATTAGCCAACACAAAAATGTACATACCTCAGTGAATTGTACACTGAATTGTATGGGCGGCTGTGGCTGAGTGGTTAGAGCAGTCGTCCTCCAATGTGGGAGATGGGAGTTGAATTCCATCAGCAGTCACATGTTGAAGTGCCTCTGGGCAAGACACTGAACCCCTCATTGCCACCAATGTGTGTCCCATCAGTGTATGAATGTGATAAAGCACTGATTATTCTCTTTAGAATGATTTGTTCAATTAGCTGTGTAGAGATCTAGTAGAGTGCTGTATGAATGGGTAGATGAGGCACAGATTCCAACATTTTTCAATCAGGTCATCTGGACAGTTTTATTTTATTTATTTCTTTTTGCTGAAGCGTTTCACCTTCCATCCAGAAGGCTTCATCAGTCAAGGAAACACACAACACAAAACTAATTAGTCCCCCAACAGCTTACTCCAAAGTGGAACAAACCAGTTATGTTGGTGCTAAGATGGTCTCTTTGGCACACCCCCTCCTCCATTGCCGACCCTCTTCCTCGTCGACAGTCATGTCAAACTGGTTCAAAACCAAAAACGTCCATGCTCAATAATCCAGGAATGCAATTCAACATTTTTCAGTCAGGTTATCTGGACAGCTTCTTTTTTTTTGTGTGCTGAAAAGTTTCACCTTCCATCCGGAAGGCTTCAACAGTCAAGGAAACACACAACACAAAATAGACTCTTCCCCCAACAGCTTACTGCAAAGTAGAGTATGTTATGGAGTTATGTTATGTTACGAAGTGCTTAGCACCAACATAACTGGTTTGTTCCACTTTGGAGTAAGCTGTTGGGGGAAGAATCAGTTTTATGTTGTGTGTTTCCTTGACTGATGAAGCCTTCTGGATGGAAGGTGAACCTTTTCAGCACAAATAAAAGAAACTGTCCAGATGACCTGACTGAAAATTGTTGGATTGTATACCTGGATTATTGAGCATGGACTTTGTTGAGGGCACAGTTTGTAGTGTAAAAAGCTTTGAGCATCTTGATAAATTAGAAAGACACTATATAAGTACAGTCCATTTACAAATATTAAGCTAACATTTGGTGTGGTTGTAGCTGAGAGTCATCCCTTACACATACTCTGAGCGCTAACAGATCATCTTTGTTCAAATATGCAGCATGGCGGGCTATGGGCATCAAATCAAGAAGGTGTTTTGTAATTGAGCATAAACCTTTAGGTCATAATTAGATGTTTTTGACAAGTGAATGCATCTCGATTGGTCAGTATCACGGTCGGTGAAGGGATTGAGCACAGATTCAGGCAGATACGATGAGCTCGATAAAACGGAACTTGTTTTATTAAATACAAGAAAACAAAGGACAGGCATAGCAACAACTACTTACAAAACACAAAAGGGTCAAGATATCTGAGGGGGGGACGGCACCTGGGCGATGAATCATGGAAAACAGGTGTGAGTGGTACGATGACTGAACAACTGAGGATGAAAATGAGACTGATCCAAGGAACACAGGACTGAGTCAAAGCAAAGAACGTGAACATAAAACATAAAAGCACATGGAGAAATACGACTGAAAGATGAACTCAAATAACAAACACAGACTAACAGAGATAGATCCTCCTCCAAGAGCCTGTCACATCAAACTTTGTAATAAATATGAATGCCCTTTTGGAAAGATAACATTAATAAAGTATTGCAAAAGAAAATAAAAATCACACCGCTGGGATGAACATTTGTTGAGATATTTACATGCTCAGGGCAGCATGGTGGCACTGGTAGAGCTGCTGCCTCTCAGCAAGCAGGTCCCTGGTTCAAATCCCGGACCGGGGGCCTTTCTAGGTGGAGTTTGCATGTTCTCTCCGTGCATGCGTGGGTTTTCTCCGGGTTCTCCAGTTTCCTCCCACAGACCAAAAACGTGCATGTTAGTCTGATTGGTAACTCTAAATTGTCCCTAGGTGTGAGTGAGAGCGTGAATGGTTGTTTGTCTCTATGTGTCCCTGTGATGGACTTGCGACCCATCCAGGGTGTACCCCGCCCCTCCCACAGTGATTGCCGGACACGTGCACCGGTGACCCCCATGACCCAAAATGGAAGAAGTGGGTAAAAGATAATGGATGGATGGATTTACATGTTCAGTAACAGGAAGTGATGTCAGAGGGGAACACCTGCATTTCAACAGAGCATAATGGCTGAAAACAGATTATTTTGATTCACTATCAGAGAGACGAAGAGTCACAGTTCAAATAATTTGTTTCAATAAACAGAGACCAGGGAGTTCCCCTTTTATGTCACTTCCTGTTTCACTTTGGCTGTGCCAAGATCAAAGGAAAAATATGCCAGTTATGTGACAAAACAGGTAAAGTCATGTGTTTTATATCAAATGTCATAAATATTAAGATGTTTTCTGACACTTTCTTTGTTTTTAGGATATACACGTCACAGTTCTTTCCTTAATGCTTTTCTTCTTTTACTTGTCTCTGATATGGAAGTTTGGAGGTAACATTTTAACTTTGGTTTATATATGTATTTTTATTGGAACTTTAAATCCTGACGTCTTCAATAGCATGATTTTCCTTCTCAGTCAAGTTTGTTCTTACAGCTCATAAAAATTCATGCAGCTTCTGTTTAGATATTGATGAGGTGGTGAGATCCCAGACAGTCCCAGGTAAAAAGCTCTTCTTACTTTGTTAGTTTTCATGTGTCCGGTGTGTCCCGTTCAACAAATCGAGTGAGGAAAACTTTTCTCAAAGTGAACGGCCAAGACTGTATATTATAGAAAAGCAGAATAGTTGTTGTGTTTATGAAAATACTGTACAAGATTTAGTATATTATGCTTCTCAGCACGTGTTAAGAATCATGCATGCATGTGTGTGTGTGTGTGTGTGTGTGTGTGTGGTTGTGTGTCAGGCCACACACACATCTAATTACAGATCAGGCTGTAGCAGTGTCTCGTGTGATACCTGCTCAGTAACCTAACCTGATATCGCTGTGCACTCCTCTGGGACTTGTTTGGTCTGTTCATTTGACTTCTGTCCTAGACTGTGACCTCCAGTGGCCGCACAGCTTTTATTGTTAAATAGTTTTGTTGTTAAATAGTTTTATTGTTAAATAGTGTTTAAAAAGAAGGGCACAACTTGTTATGGCCAAGTAACAAAAAATACTTGATTTGGTGGATTTAGTGCAGGCAGCTCTGCCCATGAGCGCCAAAGAGTTGTTTTAATTCATCGAAAGAAAAGAGGGGCTGTGATCTGCTGATTAATGTCAGAGTCAGAGTTTCTTTATTGTCATTCGCACCTCATGTGGTACATGTGGTGGAGCGAAATTATGTGCACAAGGTCCCAGTTACATCCAACAATAAAATGTATAAGAAAAACAGTGATAACATCTAAGATATGAACTAAGAAAAACATCAACTAAATATACACTAAGCACTCATAACATAAAAACATTGAACATCAGCACAAACATGAACATGAGTCTGTGTGAGCAGATGAGCACGCATGAACACATCAACATTGAAACAGATCAACAGCAACATGAAACAGATCAGCAGCAACATGAAACAGATCAGCAGCAACATGATATGGTTTTTCACAGTGATTATTCTAGTTAGAGATTCATGAGTCTAACAGCCTCAGGGTAGAAGCTGTTCCTCAGTCTAGTGGTTCTAGACTTAATGCTCCTTAACCTCCTTCCTGAGGGGAGTGTGGCAAAAAGTGTGTGTGCTGGGTGAGTGAGGTCCTTCATGATGCAGGTGGCCCTCTTCCTGCATCTGGAGGTATAGATGTCTGTGATGGTGGGGAGGCTGACTCCAACATCTTCTGTGCAGCCTTCACCACTCTCTGCAAAGCTTTTCTTTCTGCAGCTGTGCAGCCTCCATGCCACACGTTGATGCTGGAGCACAGGATGCTCTCCACTGCACACCTGTAGAAGGAGGTGAAGACTGAGCTTCCCAGACCAGCTCGCCTCAGCCGTCTGAGGAAGTAGAGTCTCTGATGAGCTTTCTTGATCAAGCTGGTGGTGTTGTTGCTCCAGCTGAGGTTGTCATTCATGTGTACACCCAAGTACTTGTAGCTGGAGACCACTTCCACCGCAGATCCTTTTATGTTCACGGGGGTGTAGATGTTTTTGTTCCTTCTGAAGTCCACAATCATCTCCTTTGTCTTCTTCACATTGATGTGAAGGTTATTCTCTTTGCACCAGCTCTCCAGGTGTTCCATCTCTTGCCTGTAGCTGGACTCATCATTGTTTGTGATGCATCCCACCACCGCTGTATCGTCTGCAAACTTTACAATGTGACAGCCTGGATGGGTAGCTGCACAATCATACGTGAGCAGAGTAAACAGGAGGGGGCTCAACACACATCCCTGAGGAGAGCCAGTGCTGAGGGTTATGGTGGAGGAGGAGAAGTTGTGGATCCTCACTAACTGTGGTCTGTTTGTTAAGAAGTCTAGTACACAGTTGCAAATGGAGGGGCTTAGTCCTAGTGTGTGGATAGTTTGTCCATCAGGGTTTGGGGGATCATGCTGTTGAAGGCAGATGTGAAGTCCACAAAGAGCATACGGACGTAAGTTTTTCTGCTCCAGGTGGCTGAGCACAGTGTGGACCACAGAGGAGGTGGCGTCCTCTGTTGATCGGTTCTCACAGTATGCATACTGATGAGGGTCCTCGTTGATGTTGATGGTTGTTTTGATGTGAGTCATGACCAGTTTTTCGAAGCATTTAGCGACTATCGGGGTGAGGGCCACTGGCCGATA